AGGCGCTGGCGCAGGGTGCCCAGAGAAGCTGTGGCTGCCCCATCCCTGGCAGTGTTCAAGGCCAGGTTGGACACAGGGGCTTGGAGCAACCTGCTCTAGTGGAAGGTGTCACTGCCCATGGCAGGGGTTGGAGCTGGAGGAGCTTTAAGGTCCTTTTCAACACAAACCAGTCTGTGATTCTATGGAGGTGGAAGCCCTTGGACCTCCTTTTGCCTGGCAACATGAGCAGCCGTTTACAGCAGGGCAGAGTGGGTGCATAATCCTGTTAGATCAAACCCATCCCCTGATGGCTGCTGTCAAGTTCTCCAGTTCTGTGCCACTTCAGGGGCTATGAAATTTCATATCTTTATTTTGTCAGACCTCTAGTCATGCAGATTTGGGGGTTCATAGGAGATGGATGGTGCTTCCACAGCCACACTGTGCTTTGCACACTTCATAAGAGTGTGTGTGTGGGAACTGTACGTGGGATTTTCATTTCAGCTTCACAGATTTTTCTGGACTAACACAGTTCCTCTTCCCTTAGGGCAGTGCTCTAATTCACCTTGTTTTGTTGCCTTCATGGCAGGTAAAGCAATTCTTGCTCTCTGCTTATTCTGTTTATTTAATAGTCAGCCTCTGAAGTCATTTGACTGCACTGGTGGGAGTGTGCAGTGTTTAAATCAACAGATATTGAAGGCTGCATTCGAGCAGGGGCCTGGTGCTAAGCACTGGAAACCTCCGTCTGTGGTCAGAGAGCTCATTTGTTGTTTTCTTCTGGCACTGACTTTGCTGAATTAATTGTTGAAATGGCAACAGCACAGTCTTCTAAATAGAAGACACCAAATGCAGAAAGAGAAAAGAGGATTGAAGGAAGACGGGCACAGCTCTTGGCTCCCTCTGCTCAGGACTTTTCAAGTAGTTAAATAACAGTGAAAAACCAGCACTTTATCTTCTCCCAGAGTCATTGCTCTCCAAAACAAACCCTTGTGTGGCTTATCAGAGCTTTCAGTACACAGAAGGTGGTCTGGGTGGTGTGAGAGGGCAGCAGATGGAGGTGATGACTTTGAATCGTGTTTGGAGAACCACTTAGTTACTGCCTGCTGGAGGGGGGGGGGTGTCTGCCTCTGCCCCTGCATGTGCTCCAGTAGGCTTTGGTGAGCTCTTTCAGGAGGCTTTGGAGCTCTTTTTAGAGGCTCTGAGCCAGTAAAGTGCCTGTGAGAGGCAATCACAGGCTGCTCTGGTGATAGCACTGCTTCTCCTCCCTGATGCTGTTTGCATTGAGCTGTCTGTGCTTGGGGCATATGGCAAAGCTCTGCAGAGCTTGGATTTGAACAGTCAGGCCAGGTATGTTGGACTTGACACCCTGGGATCCAGGATCTTGGTTCTTCTTCACACTTGAGCCTTGTATCAGGTTTTGCCAGGTCAGCAGAGACAATCGGGGTATTGTTTTCCTTGAGTGTTTGGGCTTCAGGAATGAGATGCTGACAGCAATATGCTGCTCTGGCTTGCAGACTCTGGGCCTTTCTTGAGTACTGTAGGTGAAAACTGCTTTGATTCAAGCTGGTTGTAATCAGTCCTACCTGCTTTGACAAAGCTTTTGCTGGTGGGACTCAAGATGCTTTTTGTAGCTGTCTTTGTAGCTGTGGCCTCTGGAAGGAAAACAACACAAGGGATCCCTAACAGCAAGTTGATCAGATCGTTTCACTGAGCGTACCAGTGAATTGTTATCACTCCTGGTTGCCTGGGGAACTCCTGCTTTGTCATATTGAAACCCTTCTGCAAGTACACAGATGGAACTAGATGATCTTAAGGTCCTTTCCAACCCAAACCGTTCTAAGTACACAGTGTTCATACTTGGGTTTTCTTCAGTTGAGGTCTGCAACCTCAGATCGGACAAATTCATTGATGAGGGGAGCATGGAAATGTTTGGAAGGAGTGGGGAAAAACACCCTATTTGCATGGACACTCCTGTTTTATCTGGGTGTGAGCTTTTAGCCTGCAAAAATCTTGCTGTGTTTGACTCCTGTCATTATTTTAGTCTAGAATTGCAGTTCACATGCTTCGCACTGTGTTTACTCTGGCTATTGCCTCTGAGATGTCACCATGAATCCTGCTTCTATGCTGCTGCATCCCAGGAAAAGAGCCACTGGATAACCTTGCCAGGAGAGCTGGCATTGCCGGGGAGTTACTCCTCAGGTTGTTCTGTTTAGTGGCAGAGCCACTTGGCTGCTGAGCTGTGTCTGAGCCACCAAAGCTCACCCATGCAGCCCCACCAGCCAGCTTGTGTCAGTCTGGCATTTGAAGGGCTTTGCCAGAGATCTAAATGCAAGACTGGGCAGTGTTTTGTTTGATGTGCAGAGGGATGACATATGGTCCAGGAAGTGTAGTTACTGGAAAAGCTAAAGGTAATATTTACCTTGAGAAATCCATAGTTGGGAATAAATGGCCACATCTGCAGCTGAGGCAAGTGAGAATGGGTGTGCTGCTTGCAGCTGAGGCACCCACCGTGCTTTTCACCATCTGAGGATCCAGGCAAGCCAGGTAGGTGAATGAGCACTCTAAATGGATTTACATAGATAAGTATGTGTAGCAAGCAGCTTTCTGGAGGAGAGGGTTGTTCTTTCTGAGCCACTGTAAGTAGCTGTAGCTTCTCTTTGGAGTTTCGATACTGCTTGTGACTCTTTTCCTTCTCTCTTCCTCCTTCTCCTCCGTCTTTCTGCAGGGTTTAATGCCATGGCTGCAGATGAAAGTGCTACAGAAAAGCAAGTGGGGGAACCAAAAATGGCAGTAGATGGTGAAACCAACGGTTCCTGTGAGCACAGCGAAGCTGGTGGCCACCCAAACCCAGCTAAAACCACTCAGGACAATACGAAAGTGAGCCAGCAGGACTCCAGTACTAAGTTAAATAGGATAGCAGAAAATGGCATTTCTGAACGAGATGGTGAGACTGGGAAGCAAAACCATCTGAAAGCTAATGACTTCACACAGACTTCTGTAACAGGGAGCAATGGATATATTCTAACCAAGCAGATGGCACAGGAGCAGCCTCTAAGGACTACCAGCACCTTTGCTTCTCTCACCGGCCATGCTGCAAAAACCCTGCCAGGAGGAGCAAGCAAAGGGAGAACTGTGGGCTCCTTTTCTCAGATGCAAGCCACGATGCCAACCAAGCTCGGGGAGGGCAGTAAGGACATGGATGCTAAAAAAGCCACCGCTGCTAACGCTGAAGTCAAGGTCCACAGAGCACGGAAGACAATGCCTAAACCCATCGCTAGCCTGGTAATGTATATGCCCAGCAGCCAGTGCTGCTGCTGCAGCTGCTCTTGGCTTGCTTTGATTGCATGAGAGGGATGCTGTGCTGCATGGGAACATGAGTAATTCCTGTAATTCCCACCAAGTGGATTGTTGGGGAGGTTTAATATCTATCATAGAATGTTTTGGGTTAGAAAGGACCTTAAGATCATCTAGTGTCAACTCCTTGCCATGGACAGGGATGCCTCACTCTAGACCATGTCACCCGAGGTTCTGTCCAGCCTGGCCTTGAACACGGCCAGGGATGGAGCATTCACCACAGCTCTGGGCACTGAACTTCCCCTGTTTTAGTTTAAACCCATCACCCCTTGTCCTATCACTTCAGTCCCTGGTGAAGATCCCTCTCCAGCATCCTTGTAGCCCCCTTCAGACACTGGAACCTGCTCTGAGATCTCCGCACAGCTTCTCTTCTCGAGGCTGAACAGTCCCACTGTTCTCAGCCTGTGTTCATACGGGAGCTGCTCCAGCCTCTGATCATCCTCGTGGCCTTCTCTGAGCTTGCTCCAACAGCTCCATGTCTTTCTTATGTTGAGGACACCAGCACTGCCCACAGTGCTCCAATATATGTATAATATATATATTTATTTTTATATAAATATGTATTTATTTTGTCTCTTCCTACAGAGAGCAGAGGTGTTAGAATAGAGCCACATGGCCACCACCAGCTCTCTTCCCCAATGTGTTTCTAAATATATAATTGATCAGTTACCTTCTCCAATAGATACATGCGAGACACTCGATGGCCTTTCTCTCTTGGCTGTGTTGCTCATCAGCCATCTGCTGCAATCCAGAGCTGCTTGTGAAACAAATTGGATTTCTTCTAAGTTGGACCAGAGGAAATTAAGCATAGCATGTTAAACTGGGGATTCTAAGCTTGGAAGCTGTCAAGAAGCTGATATGATAGGCAACTTGATTGCACTGACATGTCATTGTAGTGGGAAACCAGAGGATGTTTTCTCTCTCTCTCTCTCTCTGTTGACTGTGGTAATGCAACTTGTTCACAAATCTTCGCTCCAGAATCCTTAGGGATGGATCACTTAATAAATCAGAGCTCTGCCTTGGTTTTAGGAAGCAATAGGAGATGTAAAGTCTTCTGGTGCATTCGTGTTATAGTGGGGTGAACAGAAATGGGCCTTTCTTTGTCATTGGCCAAGTTTGGTTCTTTTGCTTATTGTGAGGGTTCTTTTGCCAAAGGTAGGGTATAGACACTGGAACAGGCAGATGTCCCCTGATCCACAGCTCTGTGACCCTTTATATAGCTACAGTGACATAGATCCTCTCATTGTGCTATGTTTAGCAATGGGAGAGAGACCAGCCTTTAGGTATCCTGGACCTAGCTGAAGGAAGGGATCGTGAGCCCTGCTTGGCAGTGTGCACGACACCCACAAATACCTGGGAAGCTGCTGCAAAGGTTGATGACCAGCAGTGCAAAGTGATGCTCAGATGTCACCCACGTGTGGCAGCAGAGCCACAGTGTGATGGGAAGGTCTCAGAGCTGTGACTCGCTGTGGTCTGGAGCAGGGGAGGAGAGAAAGAACAAGATGGGTGGCATGTAGCCAGGCACATATGGGAGAGGTGGCCTCAGCTGCGGCACCTCCTGCGCTCCGCATGCATGTGGGAGTCCAAAGAGCACATCAGGATTAGAGACCTCGTGGGCACCCAGCTCAGCACCGGGGCACAAACCACACCTGCCATAGGGTTTCCCACCTGTTCTCCCAAACCACTATTTCCCCTCTGCCTTCCCCTGATGGTGTTTGAATTCTCTCCCTTTCACACTCTGCTGTGTTTTCTGTCTGGGGAAGCCCAGATGCAGTTACATGCAGCATGATGGAAGTCTCTCCTGAGGCTGTCTCTTACCCAAACAAGTCTTTGTAGCCTCATAACTTCCCTTCAACAGCCTGTCATGCACTTAAATGAGGCTGGGCAAACCCCCAGACCCTTATGGAATTTGACAGAGCTCCCTTGGGGCTGAGCAATCGAAAGAGGCAATTCCCTTCTAAAAGATGACTGCTGGGTTAGGAGGGAGAGTTTTCCTCGTTCATATTTTATGATACATCAAAAAGAATATTTGTACACAACCCCCTGGGCTTCAAGGTTTGTCTCTAAGAAGCTGCATCTGCAGGTGCCGGCGGACATGAGGGGCTGTGATGATGCTGTTGATGGAATTTGCTCACACACTAACAGCAGCTTCATAACTCAAAGCCTGCAGTTGCTGGACCACTCTAGAATGCATAGCCTGTCCCCAGCACCTCTGGCCACTTCCTTTGGGCTTAAAACAGGGGCAGAAACAACATTCACAAGCAGGGTGGTAAGAAGAGGCTGTTGCCATGTTCTCCACTCAATGCATCTGAATGTGAGCCCCAGATTTGATCTCATTTCTGTACGACAATAACACATCTGGTTTGTTCAGCCCTCCTGATAATTACTACCTTGTTTTTCCCCATTGTCTCTTGAATGTACATGCTAGTTTCTTTTGAGCAGCAGAGTCCTGGCTAGTTGTCATTTTGCTGTCCTGATTAGTTCTTTGTGGAGCTGCTTGTAAGAGGCTCATCAGCTCAGCAGTGCAGGAATGTTTCATGCACCAGCCTCCACATTCACACCTTTTCCCCTTTAAAAACACTGGGAGAACAGGTGCTGTATTCCAGGAAATGCATTGTGGAAATCACCCAGAGGTTGATGACAGGACACAGTAAATTCTTTACTGATATGTTTTAGAGCAATGCTGTTTTCTTGGTAGACTGTTCTCGCTGCCTGGGAGCAGGAGGGGAGGAAGGTGTTTGGTTGCCTGCAAAGTGGCAGGAACATTTGTTCCCCCCCAGGCTCCTGTAATCCATTGGGACAAAAAATACTGTTTTCTGTAATGCAGTCGCTGTCAGGGGACCTGGGCAGCCTTTTCCTGCACACGTAGATTGGTCTTTGAAAGGAGGAAAATGATTGTCTCACAAATGTAACCAGCTTTTTCTTTGTTTAGGAGTTGCTTCCTGAATTGGGATCGAAGCTGAGCCTGAAACAGGTGATGATTTTAATTGATGTTGTTGCATGTTAAGGTGATTTTTGAGCAGAGACCTCAGAAGGGTTGTTGACAGCATCATTTCTGCTCCCCTGCTCAATAGTGCAGTAACACAAGCACTGCACCTTTTGGTCCATTTACAACCCTGTTGAGAACTCAAAACTTTCCAGGGCCAGGCAACATTCTGAAAGGGATGTGCAGGTGTGTCCTGTGCTTGGAGGAGACCCATTCACATCACTAAGATGTGTCTGGAAGGGATAAGGGATGATAAAGGAGATGAAAGCATCCCATATCTCTTGAGATAAGAGGAGCAGATGGCTGAACTGGAAGTCCCAGGTTCTGTCTTCATTCATCACTTGGTGACCATGAGGCTGTAGTTTGAGGTGTGTGTCTCTGGTGGTATTTTCTTAGGCTCTGCAGAGGACTGGGTCGGGGGAACTGAACTGTGGGAAGAAATAGTGCAGAAATCCATGAAATTTGTGTCTCAGCCTAATTCCCGGTGAGCACAGAAAACCGGGTACCAGTTTAACTGGGGGAGGCAAAGCCCAGGCGGTGAGATGCTTTGCTTATCATAGAATCACAGACTGGTTTGTGTTGAAAAGGACCTTAAAGCTCATCCAGTTCCAACCCGCTGCCACAGGCCGGGGCAACTCAGACTCAAGCAGGGTGCCC